TGATTATTTTTCAAATATTTAATATATTATATCATTTTTAGGACATAGTATAAAATAGAAAAATACAAATGTTTTTGTTATTTTCATTAGTTTGATTATTTTTAAATTGCCAAATTAAATTTTTTTATAGTTTTATATTCCCGATTTTATATTTTTTTTGTCGCCATTTCTTATATTGTCACTAAATCGATTTACTTTCTTTATCGATCGATAATTGATAGATCTATAAATGTAATCATTTTAAATGAATATAGAAAAAAAATGTAATGATGTCAAATGATTACAGACATTGATTATGATTGATACCTTGATTATAGATTATATATTTCATAGAAAAAATATTTAGATTGATGATTATAGATGTCAAATAAAACTATTATAGACGTTTGCAATATATTATTCATAATAATAATAAACTTCTTCAACAAATAAACAAATTTTTGTAGAAAACTTACAAAAAAAATTGTCTTATCTGCTTACTTTCTTAAGTTTAAATCCTTAATCACCAATCCAGTTGCCTCTTTACACCGTTACCCGAGAATAAATCATGGCTCATTGGACAAAAGATACATTATTTCGGGAAACATAATTTTCCAAGCAAAGAAAACAGAAAGAAATCAATTGCATTTCTTTTGCTTGCATAAGAAAATAAATAGTCTTTTCTTTGTATACTAACATATAAAAGCATTATTCTTACTGCAAGAAACATATGACTAAGGATTCCAATGAAATAACTATTAATATGATGTTAAATTTGAATACAATTGTCTAAAAATATTTTCTCAAAATACTTGAGAGGATACTTTTAGTACAAAATAGAAAAATATAAATAAATAAGAGTCATGATAAGAAATAAATATAAATAGTCACATAAAGAATAAATTATTATTATAATAATAAAATATTAGTCATAAAATGTTAGTCATAATAGAAATATAAGAATCATATATAAGTAAATAAGTAAAAATAGTAATAAATAAGTAAAAATAGTATTATTAATTGTTTATTTTATATTTATAAGCGTTATATTTATAAGCATTATATATATAGTGTAACCGTGTTTCCTCCTACTTACTGCAACAGCGCCCGAGAGGAAGGACAGCACAAATCACGTTCTTCTGTTGAAAAACTTTTAGCTTACAATAATCTTTCATCTCGAGAGGAAATATATTTAACGCAACCCTGCGTTAAATATTGGCCTCACTCGGAGATGAAATAACTCACGTACCCTGCGTATACCTGAATATCAAGTTTTTGGCTTAGAAGTGGAATCCTTAAACGAATCTATAAATATATGTCTTTAAATGTGTTACATATTGTCTGCAATTGAATGTGTGTGGTGTTGATGCATGAGTAATTAAAGCTATTTGTTCTCCAACCTGCCCCTTAAGTAACTCAAGCCAACCACACCCAGTACAATCCAGTTGCCCAACCTGCACACTATAATTGTTATATATATATATATATTGTGTGTGGTTCCAACATGATGGAGACCGCCGCATAAAGCAGCAGACATCAGTGTGTAAAAGATTCTCTTAAAAGATAGTCAGATATGATGATCGGTAGAGTGGCTACCACGTTCGCCGGACTTGACTCCCATGGATTTCTGCCTCTAGGGTTAAGTCAAGGAACAAGTCTACGCAGTTAATATAACTTCTTTGGAAGATCTATCTAGCGTATCAGTCTTGCTTGTCGCCCAGTTATACCTATGTTTCAACGCGTCCATGATTCAGTGATGTCATTCATTAAGTTGTGCATTGAGTTTTGTGGTTTAAGTTTGAGTAGTATATAGTCGATTTTATAGTATATCCATTCATATTTTCTAATGTATTTATTATAAAAATCATTAACAAAAACTACTGCAATATGAAATAGACAATGACAATTTTCCAGTAACTGAAATATTTCTTGTTGATTTCAAGAGTTTCAATTACATTAAAATTAATAAAAACACATGTTTGAACATTGAAGAATGGATGAATGAATTTAGGAATATGCCAATGTTTAATAATGCACGATATATATGAAGCAATTGATTGGAATACTATAAGAATGGCCAAATTCAAATAGCCATATGAATATAGCAATGTTGAATAGATCAAGAAATTCATAAAGAATGAATTGTTCAAGAATCTCTAAAAGTATATATAAGAGTAAGATAAATGTCGTTGCAAATTAAGAATGAAGTATT